AAACTGACAGGCTAACTCAATCGGACCGCCCATGTGAAAGGGACCTTAAGAGCCTATTTACAACTGTCCATTTTAATGTTCAAATGTCATGCATTTTGTACATTAAGATGCAATGTAAGTAGAAATCCCATTATTTCCTGTGTGGTTCACATGTGTACGACGCATTGTGAAAGGGATAGAAAGCCAGGGGAGAGAGGGAGGAGAGACAGCCAGGAGAGAGGGAGGAGAGACAGCCAGGAGAGAGGGAGGAGAGACAGCAAGGAGAGAGGGAGGAGAGACAGCCAGGAGAGAGCGTGCAGAGACAGCCAGCAGAGAGAAAGGAGAAACTGCCAGGAGAGAGAGTGAGGAGAGACAGCCAGGAGAGAGTGAGGAAAGGCAGCCAATGAAAAACATGGTAAGAACTTAGTAAATGGGCCAAAGTATAAACTGTCTGTCACAATTTTATCCATGAGAACATGTTTGGGGACCATAAAGGGAGAGAGAGAGTGGGGAAGAGTGAGAACGAACAGTCAAAGCACAGTCCTCAGGCATATTTAGTGACGAGAAGACATTCTGCACCTGAGCTGCAGACCTGTCCTGTGTAAGGCGCGTGGCTGTTTACAACCAGGAAAACCAGGGCCCCATGGTTGCCCCTGTCTGCCTGACAACGTGTGTTCAGCTTCCATGATACCCATACACAGGATTCAAAACCCAGGCTGTCCGGGTGAATCCCACATAGGTGGAACCCTATGGGGTCTATTCACACAGCAGCCGAAGGATCTAGCCGCAGCTTCGGCCGATCCTTCGGCTAGCTTCGGCCCCAGGACCCCTTCGGTTCAGTAGAACCGAAGGACTGCTGTACGGGCTATTCACTATAGCACGTACAGCTCCCGAACTTAGCCGAGCGGCTAAGTCGAGCCGAGACATATGCCTCGACTCGGCTGAGCCGCGCTGAAAGCCGAAGTCGGCTAGCAGCCTGCTTCTGACAGCTGGGCGGAGCCAGCTGTGATCTTACGGCTGGCTCTGGCCACTTGCAGAGAGATCAGCGTCCCTGGTTACCAGCTAACCAGGGACACTGATCTCCAGACAGCAAACTCTCCCGGGCGCTGTGAGAATCTCCCGCTCCCGGCCGCCCAGGAGAGAAACACTGCTTTTTCTTTTTTTTTCTTTATTCTGACACGTGTCAGAATAAAGCATTGCACCCGCCCTCTGCTGATGGACCTGATGGAGAACTGCAGCAGAGGGCGGGTGCAATGCTAGTTTACTATTGGCTATTGCAAATTGAAATAGCCAATAGGAATCTAGCAATGCACTCCAATTTGCAAAACATTTTTTTTTTCTATTCTGACACGGCTCCGTGTCAGAATAAAGAAAAAAAAAGAAAAAGCAGTGTTTCTCTCCTGGGAAAACAGCGTACGGCAGCCTAGTGAATAGACCCCTATGTGTCTTTTGCAGTCTCAAGGGGCAGCTGCTTTGGGCCCCACAGCAATGGCTGGGCCCAGAGCAACTGCCTCTTTTGCCCCACAATAATGATGACCCTGAAGCTAAGCTCCAGAAAAAGAGCTGAAGACACAGATGAAATACACATGTGGACGATCTTTTAACTCTGGGGCATTTGGAATTTTGTTTAGCCAGTATTAACAGCAAAGTCCGGTTTCTGTCCTTATTCTTCTCTGCTGCTGATAATCAATACAGCTTAGTAGTTTCCCTGCTTCTAGTGTAAGTCACAAGTAATTCTTCCACAGACACTGGGGTGCTTGCTTTATTCTCCAGATTAGCAAGACTTTAAGGCTTCATTCCCACCTACATATTACATGCGTTTGGAGATCCCTGTGGCAGAAATACCAAATATGCCATCTAGAAGCAGCAGCTGTCACCCGTTCAAGTTAATGATCGGGGACAGTGGGCACATTTTAAGGCGGCAGTCCGCAGACACTTCACATGTAATCATTGGATTAAATCACTGTCCCTGTATGCATCGATCATGCAGCATATTTGGGATTCCTTCCACAGGAATGTGTAGGTTCCTATCACAGGGTTTTCAAAGCGCACCTACTATGTAGGTTTAAATGAAGCCTAACCATCCGTAACCTCACCTTATTTACTATTTGCACATAAATTTTCCCTAGTGAACTTCTGTACTCTGTCGGTACATGCCCTGTTGTCAATCTGCTCATAATTAGAGTCTGATTAGGAAGGTAAAAATTATGAAAAGATGAAAAGCAGGGTGTGCCAGCAGTTGGAACTGGATCACGAAATGTCAGCAAGTGTATTCCTATGTTTAATTGGTGTGTGTGTGTGTGTGTGTGTGTGTGTGTGTGTATATATATATATACAGTGAGGAAAATAATTATTTGATCACCTGCAGATTTTGGAAGTTTGCCCACTTACAAAGAAATGAAAGGTCTATAACGTTTATCATAGGTGTATTTCAAATTATAGAGACAGAATATCAACCAAAAATCCAGAAAAAACACACGATACAAATGTTATAAATTGAGTTGCAGTTCAGTGAGTAAAATAAGTATTTGATCCCCTACCAACTAACAATAATTCTGGCTCCCACAGACTGGCTATGTGGTACACAGATTAATCCTGTCAATTTAAGAAGGTGCTCCTAACGACAACTAGTTATGTATATAAAAGACACCTGTCCACAGAATCTCTTTCCAACCTCACCACCATGGGCAAGACTCAAGAGCTGTCAAAGGACATTAGGGACACGATTGTAGACCTGCACAAGGCAAAAGGAAGGAATACAAAATTACCATCAATCGCTCTCGGTTTGGAGCTCCATGCAAGATTTCACCTCATGGGGTAAGGATGATCATGGGAAGTGAGGGATCAGCCCAGAACTACACGGGAGGAGCTTGTGATTGATTTTAAGGCTTCAGACCACAGTCACCAAAAAAAACATTGGTAACACAATACACCGCCATGGATTGAGATCCTGCAGCGCCCGTAAGCTACCCCTCATCAAGAAGGCACATGTACATATATTTGGGCATATTAGCACATATGGTGAATGCTTTAAAGTCTACTCACAGTATCTTTTTTTAAGGGCCTGGTAGCCCACTTTTATTTAAACAAAAGTTCACACATCAACCTTGGATACTTAGCAGGGGTTGTTCAGTACAGCATCCATGCACTGCTTGCAAAACAACAAAAGGTTAGCCTCCTGGCTTCCACTTTTAACATTAAAACTGCTGACCCACTGGTCTTGCACTTCTACTGGCGGCCCCTCATGCTCTCAGCTCTCCTAGCCTCACCATTTCCCCCAGTGTAAAGTTCTGATGAAGCCCTTAGAAAAGTAGGCAGGCGAAACGCGTCAACGGAAAGTAATGCTAAAGCCTTATGAAGGAACCCTGTGTGGTCCCAAAAGAGCTTGTTGTTCATATGACAAAAAACTTCAATAAATTAAGCTTTTGCCATCTTAAAAGGACACAGACGGAAGGTTAATTCCTTACACATCGGGAAATTTAAAATCAAAGCATTTTGAATGATCCAACATACTTGGACAATCAGCTTTAAAACCTGAAAAATCATAAATGTGAGTACTTGAATATCCAGTTTTTGGACTGTCCTTAAAGATTCATTCCATATTGACTGTCACTCACGGGATTGTCCCTCAGACGGGATTCTTAATACAGTGCTTAATCTACTAATTTGACTGGGCTGAACTGTAAAATGATAACCAATCTATAACCAGATCATCCAACACACTCCTAAAAAGGAATAGACAAATAAGTTGTCTATTGGATAACATCAGGTGTCTCCACTATGGATCTGTGAATATCAGACTGTCAGAACGCTCATAGAGCTCAGATTCCTCTTTTCTATACCTTCCCTTCGAATCCACTGAGAACCAATGTTATTCAATACCCTTTATAACTGCTTTGGTCTTCTTTAGATCAGAATCGAGTTTTTTTGCATTGTGTGTTCATTTAGGGGCTGTTGAGTATTACCGATGAAAAAAACCTAATTGAGGAAAGAGTTAGTTGATATAGGGTTTTGGTTTCTTAATAAATTTTCCTTTTTTGTTTATTTCCCCCAGCCTCCCTTGCTGTCTTCATGTACCTCCAGCAGATACACCACCTGACTCCACGTTGACTTATGGTGGCGTCCTCTTGACTCTTGAACACCGTCTGTTCCTATTTCCCAGCAGGAGCTTATTCCCCTGGTCAGCACCCATGCAATCATTGGGTGCTGGTCACTGCTAAACCCTGGACCCAGGACTGTAATGATGTGTGTGTGAATAAATAGATAAATAAATTAAAAAAAGGACAGCAGCACAGTGGTGTAGTAGTTAGCGCTTCTGCCTTGCAGCACTGGGAGTCACTGGATCAAATCCCAACCAGTTCACTATCTTCAAGGAGTTTGCATGTTCTCCCTGTGCTTGCATGGGTTTCCTCTGGGTACTCCGGTTTCCTCCCACACTCCAAAGACATGCTGGTAGGTTAATTGGCTCCTCTCTAAGTTGGCACTCTATGTATGCATGTGAGATAGGGACCATAGATTGTAAGCTCCTTGAGGGTAGGGACTGATGTGAATGTGCAACTATGTAAAGCGATGAGTAAATTGTCTGCGCTATATAAATACCATAAATAAGGACAGTATTAGGAAGTTCCAAACAGATCCAAGCCTGCTGTTGGAATTTCTATGTGATTGGTGATACAAGAGTCAGCGAGAGAGAGTTGGCCCTGGCTGCACTGAATTACATTGGCCACACTGGTTGCCAAAAAGCAATATTATCTCTCTGATTGGTTTCACTGTCTGGACTCATTAGTCCAATTCTGCCAATTCAATGCTGGTTAGGTTACATGATCATATAACATTTCCACCTCACTGCAGATGTCTTTTATGAATCTACTGATTTTCAATATTGGTTAATGCTTGTTTTTCATTTTATGCTGCTACAACATGTATACATTGGAAGCCGATTGCATTGTTTAGCCAAATTATATGTACTTAATTATTACAATGTGAAATGCAAAATAATGTACATAAATAAACATACTTACTTGGGTATCTATAGTAAAAATCATTTTCATTATCGCTGCTGATGCCCTTATCCTGCATGTATTTTTTCCATAATGGATCAGATTGTATATCATAACGTACAAAAATTCCAAAAAGGACAATCATGGCAATCTCAAATGTAATGCAGATAAGTGGCAGCTTCCACCGCATATTGGTATTTTTTGCCATAATCTTCACACTTCTACTTTTCTTCTAATAGGAAGACTGAATATAGCTGCCAGTTATTGCTGAATGTCATTCTCTTTAATACGGTATATATATAATTATTTTGAAGGGTGTATCGGGTCAGATACATTTGTCATTATGAAGTTACACACCTCTTATAAGAAAAGGGAGGGAGAGTACACATCATATAGACAATGTACATGATAGTGAAGTCCAATAAGGGAGGTGACTGCGCCTGGGTGATGTCGGGTCAAGATAATTATACCATAAAGCATGTCGAACTTATAGCTGCCAAAGGTGTAACTGATTTCATGTAAAATCCTGCAAAGGTTATTCACAATATTAATCAGGCAATCATGAATCTTAACTATTAATGTGTCCTAGTTAAAAATGTTGTCTGTCTCTGTTCCCTGTAACAACCAGATTTAGATTCTCTCTCACAAACAGTAATGGAAGGCAACAAATTAGACTCTGATTGGTTACCTCATGTAACATAATGTCTTATGCAATTTGTTTCTCAAGCTTAATAATTGTTCCAGATTTTTTTTCCCCAGCATAATATATTACTGTTCTTACTACATAAATATGGTAAATGTGACTTAAAGAGGAACTTTACCCATATCTTGAAAATAACAGCAATGGCATCTTTAGAAATGTTTAAAAACACAAACTACAAACAGATACTTCTAGATAATTGCCGGCTTTTTCTTTTTACCTAATTTCCCCCCCGCCCCCATTCTTTTCACAGTATCCACTATAACTAAGGGCAGGGTACTGTATCTCCCTTTACTTCCTGGAACTCTGGCACATCATCTCAGGGGAAGAAAATGCCTTTCCCTGAGATCCCATGAGATTTTAGATGAGATTTCCCAGCAATTCTCTGCTGATGTAACCTTCCCAGGATGCAACACTTTGGAACGATTACATCATTTGAGCCAAAGTGGACAAGGAAGTAGAATGTAAGGTGAATCCATATCAGCTTGCAGAGCTGTATGCTGATGTGATTTTTAGTCAAAGGAGGTAAAGGTCCACTTTAATATTATATGATAATGTAACTCTGTGAACTATATCAAGTAACGCATAGATCTTTATGTTCTTGCATGGAACACAGAATAAGGAACTTTTGCAAATGACTCCGCGCACAGGCAAGAGTCCATGGTGCTTATAATTGCTCACAGAGATTTTATGGTTTGAAAATCTCTTTAATCGCTTAAGGATCCTCCCTACTTCTTAAATAAAAACATGGACGATCTTTTAAAGCTTGCACGATGGTTCTCAGAATGATTACTGGCCCTAATCATAGTCATATGTCATTGGTGTCAACACTGAGTGGCAGATTTTCCATTTCCTTTTGCTATTGATGAGATATATGCCACTTTGTAGGTAAATGTAGAAGCCAACCAACCCAACTGAAGTGAATGGGACTTAACGCTGTCCAATTTGCAGTAATTTTCACCCTGCAAATAAAGGCAGAGGTGGTGATGGGGATTCTTTAAGAGAGAGAGCAAGAGTACTGCACTGAATGAAATGAAAGGGCAAGATTGCAAAAATGTGAGTCATACAGACTATTACTTTAAGGTAAAACATTGACTAAGAACAGAATGGGGATGCAACAGATTGTGCAAGACTCTTTCACCTCTACCAATTAATATTAACAGGTAAATATTGATCACCCAATATTTACCTAAAACATGAAATGAAAAAAAAAAAATGTAGGTTGTCACTGTTCCCTTTCTAGATATGTCACTGTCATGTTGCTGTTTTGTTTCTGATTCACTGATTAAGAACAAATATAAGGATAATATAGTATGACTTTCATCTGACTTTCATTTGCTGCATGCTTGTTTTAGATTTGTGGCTCCAATGTATTCAAGCCGGACATAGCCAGGAAAATAGCATTTTCCGAATGAGGCTAGGAATGGTAGCCCTATATTTCATATTTGAAATCAAACTGTTATCTGCCCAAGCAGACCAAAGCAACATGTTGACTTTAATTGTGGCCTTTCCAACTGGTTATACTTACACCCCCCCCACACACACACTCCCAATCACCACTCTGTTCAGGCTCCGAAAGCAAAGCAAAGAAAGTACCAGGTTGTTAGTCATCCAGAACTGTCATATGGGGGCTACACGAGAGTTCTCAGCACTCTGTAAGCTTTAAGTTGCAACTCAAACCTTACATATGTTTATCTTCATTACTGGAATCATAATGGCGCTCCAAGGGTGTGATAAGAGGTAAGTTTGTGCAGGTGGCTGTCATTAAAGTGAACCTGTTGCTTTGTCTTGCATGGGTAAACTACGAGAAATATCCACCCCACTTTCCAATAACTGCTCTCAGATGAAGCAATGGAAAAATTCTAAAAGATTGGTTGATCTTTAAAATGCTTTACTTTTTAAAGGTTTGCCAGGAATTTGTATGATATTTTTAGGAATACAAACATGACAGTAACATAAACTTCGTGTAAGTCTAGTATATGTCTTTTTATGCTCTATGGTACCTGTGGCCCATAGTTATATTAGTTTATGTTTATTTTTTTGCTTCATAAAAACCCTGGCATGCACAAGTATAAAATTCACAGCAGAGACTGCAAACAATGTCTTCATTTTGAAGTATTTAAAAATGTAGTCTAGAAATATATAGTGGTAATGATAAGTGCTTGGGAGTTAGTTTTATGTAGCACCCCTTGACTACCAAGAGCATAAAGGGAGAGTGAGCTTGAATTTTCCCTCAGGGTCTGGGATTCGGCAATTGTGGGTACCAGTCACTTTTAAATGCTAACAAGTTTATTGAATCTTACTCAACACTCATGGGAGAGAAGGTTATGGCACAGCACAGCCACGCACTTGGCAGACTCCAGAAAAGAGAGACAAAAAGTAATTATAGTCTTCACACCTAGAGAACCTTTCCATTCTGTGAAATCCGCTCCTGGCTGTAAGATAGCCAATAGTTCAGCTACAGACTCCTTGGGGAGAAATCACCATACTTCAGTCGATGACCAAGCTTCTGTCCAGTTTCTTAGGTACCTCATTCAGGCTTAAGCTCCTCCAAGATATCTCAATCCCGATTCAACATACCAGGCCTCAAACCCAGACCTTTGTCCAAGCACATGGTCACCCTTCTCAGACAGCAGGCCCAGATGGACCAGACATTTCTCCCAGCCTACACCACTGGCAATAAACCTCCTAGTCGTTGGCCAGGGAGATATAAATATTCATAACTTAACTCATCACTTAACTCTGAATGGTAGTCTTCCACACAATTGCCAGAGACACTCCCCAGCAGCATTCAGAAGCAAACAATGATCAGAGCTTCAGAGAGACTCAAGAAAGAAAAAGATCAATCAGACTCAGGCTAACTTTAGCATGGCAGTTTTTAAACTTAAATATACACTCATGCTTAAGGCAGGGTGGCAACAATTATATATGAATTCTCATTCATTACTGTAGGTGTCCACTTTCAGTTGCAGAGTGATATGCCCTTTCAGCTGTTGAGTGATCCTCACTTTTCTCCTAGACCCCAAAATCAACCAGTCAACTTTCTCCAACAAGAAATTATTAGGAGCATGCCTAATGCTCCTATAACTGCCACAGCCTGCCAGCTCCTCCTAGTGGTTGCTTGCTGCCACTGCATCTTTCCCAGACTTCTTTGTCAGCTGCAGGCTAATAAATCTGGCCACATGCCCCCAGAACTTTTCTCTGACTACTTTCTCATCTGCGGGTTAACCAGCCTAACCACACACTCCCAGCCTAGGGACTGGTTAGTGAAGCTTTATTTAAAGTGTATTTCCACTTTTGCAGTCAAACTTCCCTCTATATGTTTGTTGTGTGTTCCCGTTTACACAGTATAACAAAAAAAATAATTAAAAAAATATGTTTTACCTTTTAGATGTTATGTTACAGCAGGCAAACTAGAAAAAGATGGTAACCGCATAAATGTATAACAAGCCTTTTGTGTTTTGTAATGTTCCAGCAGGCAACATGGCTGAATCCAGGTTTTTTTCTCAGCACCTTTACAGTGATCTGTCCTTATAGAAATACTTAGGACTGAAATTTGAGAATCGTGTTTCTCTCATTAACTTCATTAACATACAGTGCAGAAGCCAAGGCTGTAATCCTTAAACCCTTTCTTAGGACAGGACGCATTCAAATCTACTATACAAATAATAATAAACAACCCCTCACAACCCCTCCTAACATTACAAAGAAGGAGAAGCAACTAGAAATTGTAACCCTTAAGAAGCCAGGAAACCCTATCCCATTTAAAAGCAATTTAAACTGCAAGAAGCATTTTTTACATATTTTTTTAGCGTATGCTATGTTAGTGGGAATATGTAACAAATATAAAATAGGTGTTAACCCAATTGGGTTGTGAAAGTGGAAATACACTTCAAGCATCACAAACCCTGTATCTGGTATCTTGCATCCTGACTTAGTATCCTGTTCCTGCTATCTTGCTAACATGTTCCTGTCTCACTATCTTGTGCCTGGAAATACTCTCTGTCAGCCTCCAGTCCGGACCTCAACCTGTCTCTGGAATACTCTCTGCCACTAGCCCTAACTCCAGTCTGTCCCTGGAAAACACTCTTGTCTGCTACTCGCACTGTTCAAGACCTAGGGTATCAGCGATGCTTATGAAATGTCCCCGAAAGATGACTGTTGTAGGTGAAGTAACTCGCCACTATTTACTCTGAGTGGAATGTCTGCCTCCGGTCCTTACAGAAATATGCTGTTATCAATAAAAAATTACAGTAAAAATAATAATACGCTTTGCTCATCCATTAATTTTTGATAATTGTTGTGGAAAACATTTTCATAAAGATACTTAATAGTATTTTAAAATGTTATAAGGTAATGTTATTTTTCAATAAGTACTAAGTAACATTTATTTGGTCCATAAATATTTGGACAGAGACAGACTCTTCTTCATTTCGGCCCTGTGCACCACCACTATGCATTTGAAACAAAGCAGTCAAGATGAGATTTCTAGCTCTGGATCAAAGGGTTTGTGCACAATGTATGCTGCCATCACCAAA